AAAAATGTCCTATATTTACGAAAAATGATTTATATATTGGGAATTAATCATATGTTGTTTCCGCACCGCATGCGTTTTTAAGGACTTCTTTGCTCTTTTGGGTAAATTTTTTCCTTGTTTAAGACAGTTTGGGGAAAATTTCTGGTATCCTTAGATTTTGCGTGTAGGTTAACTCATTTCCGTAACGTAAAACGTGTTTTACTCTGTACTATGTATTCTCTAGACCTGCCATAGTGGGAACTTTAGTCCGCTGACGTCCACTGAGCAGTATGTTAATGACATCAATTATGAAACATCGTATCTCACAGTTATGTTCTTTAAAATGTCAGATTGTATGGGCAAGCTTTTGTAAGCGTGCATTTTTATGAACACGCTAGACAAGAAATTGCTCTACATCGAGGTATCCATATGAATAACTTGCCCGATGGCCTGTGGACAATATATCTTATTTTTATAGATTTTCAGAAACTCACATAAAAAGGTACGACAATCGTCTTCCTCAAGTAACATAGATTTGCCGGACAAGTTGGTGTGCCATCTTCTACTTTCCTAAAATAAGACGCTAATTTACTTACTGTTACATTTAACCCTTTGGGGCGTTTCGGCTTTTGGCTAACTCGCAGGAAAATTACGATGGAACATTTTCTTCATCTTTCCTGTCCTACTTTTTATTCCATAAAGACATTCATTGCAATATATCTTGCTGGTAAACAGTATTCCAAATATTGCGGACTTTTCCTAACCGAGTATATTTAGAATGCAGTCGCACATTTGTTACTCTTTTAGTTTATGGCCGTAACCAGCGGGGTTATCAAAGTAACGGTAACTTAATATCTATTTATATGCATATTTTAATCCGATGTTAACCCAAACGCCGCCTTTGGGAATACGCATGTCTAGTTAAATGCATAAGTAGGTATGGTTTTTCAAAAGTGCATGCATTTCATATAAAAGTACATTTATCGATTGTTAGTATTATAACTTACCAAGAAAGGACACATACGCACTGCTCTGACAGAGGAACTTGATAAAGGGCTTATTCAACATGTTTCCGACGCGGCTTTCTGGTGCAATCAAGTACGAGGTGCAGAGGACGGGAAATAACAGGCAGATTACGCTTATCGTCCCAACCTGCACGCCTAAGTGTTTCCTGCGAAAGCCCGGTAGGCCGTCATACCAGAGAGATGCTAGAAGCTGCTGGCAATGTGGGTGGGCCACAAACTGAAATGAATAATAAAGTATTTTTTCTCATAATTTGGGGGCAAAAGTCTGGGCAGCTGACAGTACCAAGCAGACAACGGCATTATCAGATGTTGCGCATCTTCCATTTTACAACTGTAAAGTTACGTAAAGTCAGGTCTGTAGACAGAATAGGTGGCCAATCGTTAATAAGTTAAGTTAATTGAAGTAGACGAAGCAATAGTCAGCTGACGAATAACGTTCTTTTAAAGTGAATGCTAATTCATGGGCATAAATGTGCATGTGTGCAGCAGTCTTGAAGAATGATGGATACACGGTTGAAAAGTTTCCTCGTATCTGCCTAGAAAACTTTGCTTCGTTTTTCTGTTCCGCTGAGATGCGAACGAACAAAAGTGTCTGTAGTATCCGTGTTGACCCAGCAAGCTACACTGCTTGTAAGTTTAAAATTTCAGCGCCCAGGAGTATGCTTATGTTCCGATTATTCACCATGATTACTCTTATTAACAGTTAACAAAATTTTCTTCTGGTACTTTTTAGGAAATGCAAAGAAGGACAGACTTATACGTGGTGACGCACTGTAACCAAACCCAAATGGGGAATAATAATTTTAACTTAATGGAAGAAAGTTATTGAAAACATTTACAATTAACTATTTAGAGCAAAACCATTACCTGCAATCCAACAGTGAACTTGTTCAATTCTTGATACAGTTAATTTTTTGCATACTGAAGGCTAAGTATGTGAGAATATTGGTACTGATTCCTAGATTATCGATTTTGACGGCAATGGCGTACCGAATGACTCAGTCGAATATTATATAAGATTGTTATTACTTTATGAAGGTGAATAACAAAATTCTTGACACCATTAAATGTTTCGATAACTACAGTGAGTCTTGTGAAGATCATGGTTCAAATTAAGAATGACGAGGATAACTAAACAATTGGCTAAATCGAGAACAAGGTCTTGTGCATTTAAATTTATCTAAACAATGTCTGCTGGAGGTTCATGCTGAAGCTTTTATTTATACCATTACTGTTATTTATGTAACCAACGTGCGTTACGTCTATTTGTGCCGTATATATAATAATTGAGGTTTTCTTATATAGGGTTATCCTGGGTGCTAACACAGACAATAAATCTCAGCATTTTTTCATATTCCAGCTGTCGGTGCCGTCATAATTACTCTGATGTAGATTTTCGTAAAGAACAGTCTAGCGGAGTTTCTGAAAGATGTGATTTCTAAAAATGGGACACTATGTTTAAGAGACGCATTTAACAAACATTGCTTAACAGACCAAAATTCTTTTTGTGAAATCAAGATCGACGAGCGGCTTTTCAGTTCGGTAGCTGATAGTTTATTAGCGGCAAAGAGGAATTATAAATCAGCCAAGGCATAGTTAGCAAGAAGTTACTTCGTTAATACTTGTCTTGCTTGAAAAACTTTTAACATGAGTAATTTGGGCAAGGATGAAGGAAAAATATTGGGTGTTTTATTAGACTTTTACTTACAAATATAGTTTTTATCAATAAGTTTTGGTACTTCACGTTTGAATACTTTTCAAAGAGATCAGCCTGATATTAACACTTAAGTACAGCTTCATATGACCACATTGTGCACGGGGTTTAGCGGTAGTTAACCATGTAAGTTTATTTGCTGCAGTTCACATGCAAATGACATTTAGCTACCACAAAAGTAGAATTTGATTATTTAAGTAATTTTTTATGATGTCCCAATGCCATGTGAACTCATCATATCCATTAAATATATGTAAGATTCATTCCATTTAAGAGCAAAACAATCTTCACTCTTATAAATATAATGTACTCATTTCTACAACTCTTTTTTTCTGCAACTCAAAAGATATAAACAGACAGGACGCTGTATCGTCAACGCATTATGAATGATTGGCGTTTGCTACTTTATTGCTGTTATGTTGCCGTCTAAAATCGCATAGACGCCCTTGGTCTAGAGAGGTTGCATGGACACGAGAAAGGATAAGCACGCTGACAGGATGCGACTTGTAGTTTGTTTGGACTTATTAGAGCAATTCGGGATGAAGACATAATAAATTCCTTTTTTATAGTTATTCCACAGTGCTGCTGCTTGGCTCTTCTCAAATAACGAACATATAACTAACCATTAAATGTAGAATTTTTCGCATACTTGTGTGCGTAAAACATTATCTTGAACAGAAAATTCGGCGAAACAATAACATCGATAGACAGCATCGGTGGGTACATCAGACTACCAAAACAAGCGAACCGATTTGCGGAGAAGAATGTCCTAATAGCTAACGTGTGCGTGCGAGAAGTTGCCTAAAGTTGCATAAATCTCCGGCACTACAGCAAATGTATGGGAACCATCGCTTAAAAAACTTGTGTTTGTGACTTGCTCACAGTTTAGCAGGAATAGAACATCCTTCAAAAACAATTCCTTGCCAAATGTAAGAATTGCTCAAGCCTACGCAGAGTAGCCTTAGCCATGCCAGTGATTTACATATTAAGACAATTATCGTTTTTTATATTTTCTTATACCGTTGATGACTTTTCCGTTTTGCTTGTCATTTATTTCACTCAAGCGCACATTTCAAGCTCTTACTGATGCACAAAAATGATGAGAAATGTTAGTATGCAGTCGAAAACCACCCTTAAGGCACGCAAAAAAAGTTTGGAATAGCAAAAAAATATCTTAAACGAATTAAGATTTAAAATACACTAAAAATAATAATTGTTTTTTTAGAAATTTCGATTTTTTAAAAATGCCTTAAGTTCTCAAAAAGTGAAAAAATTGGCAGATATTTTGCCAATAAATGTTACTCTAACCGTCACATAAAATCCCGACCGTACAAATTTCTCGAAAGGTTTTTAGGTATTTAGGTACTCAAGTATAATTAGTTTCAGACCGTCCCTTACCTCCAGGCAAATGCTTCATGATTTCAAGTTCTCTGCCATATTTATAGGTTATAGTGGACGCGCTCGTCAAAAGCTTTAAACTCAGATAGTTCGTAGAAGCACTTTACTCCACCTGAAGAATATCTATGCATGTGACCTTTTTTCTAAAGCACGTCAAAGTAAAATTGGATGTGTTTAAAACGTTTTTTTCTTGATTTACCTGAAAATAAACTATAGAATTTTGGTTGGAAATGAAAGAATCTCCTTTTTACCATATTTGATTAACTTAAGGCTCGTTTTATATTTGCAAATATAAAGTGAGTGCCCAGCTATATACCATTTTGTGAAAATTATTGATGCTTTATCTGTTCCGTTATTAAATTATGCACTATCGGAAGCAATTTCTGCTTCATAGTTGAGCAGATTTTTTCCTATGTCTACATACACTTCATTTGTGCATTTTTTGTTTAGGCTCTCAAATCGCTGCCGCGGTAAAGTTAGTTACAGTCAATGCGTTTTTATTGCGATTTTTGAGGAAATGGTTGTGGAACTTGGCATGAAATAATTTTTGAAACTCTTCTTATTCTTTGTTTTGAAAAATGAAATGTGCCGCCATCTGATTTATATCAACTTATGATCAGATTTTCCCATTCTAAAAGGGATGTATTTAACCGCTGTCTTGATTATGTTAATTTTCTTTTATACCACAATGCACGAAATGCACAAAATAACATAGGCAATTACTTCGCAATACGGCGACATCTGATTCCACCCAACGTCAGCTAGGTTCTCTTGAGCAAACTGAAGTAAATGTACAGTTCTCTGTACTATTGGGTTTCAGAGAATCAGTTTCACTCAGTAAATCGAAATATAGAAACCAAATGTACGCTTTACTATAATTTCCAATTTTGATCATGATGTTAAACGAGTTAATTCACCTTCTGCATGCCTTTTGAAAACCTTCTTTAAATATTCCTTATTGCAGAAAACCGGTTATTGCGTACTCGTAGAATTTGACATCCTTTAAATATTTTCATCTATTTTTCTGGATTTTTATTTATACAATTTGTAATACCTAACCTGAACAAGGTAATACTCCCTTAGTAGACAAGTGAACTTTTCGAGCACGCAAACTCTGTCTGGGTAAACCCTATGTTGTTAAGTGTGTTAAAACTTTATCTTCGTATGCAAGCATTGTAATTCCTATATTTGACCATGTCACGTATTCGTCGACTTCACTGTGCGCTAAAGCGCACTACCGTATGCAGAACTAACCATGGGGAGTGTCAGTTAATAAAAT